GCAAAACTGACGTCCTTAGGCTTTCAAGTGATGCCCCATCCACCCTATTCTCCTGACCTGCCTCCTTCTGACTATTATCTGTTCCCCAAACTAAAAAAACACCTAAAGGAACAATAATTTGGGAGCGTTCTGGAGGCAACTAATGCTGCAAATGAGTGGTTACACCAGCAGTCGGAAGAATTTTATTTGCAGGGACTTACTTAAGAAGCTGCAGGACAGATGTCACAAGTGCATTGACTTCCTGGGCGAATATGTAGAATAGTCTGGCAGTTACAGCTTCCAAGCTCAATTTTTTCTGGGAAAGGCTCAATACTTAACGGCACTCCCTCGTAAATGAATTCTTGGGATGAGATTGGGAACAGACAGTCCATCAAACATTACAAGAAGATTAACACTTTCCAGGACAGACATGCAAACTTTTTTAACAGTGAAGTGCAAAAAATCAGTGGGTAACCTTTTCCCTGTATAGAGGCAAGGAAGCTTATGCTGCATCTATCAGATTTTCTGATTGTCTGGCAAAGTTGCTAAGAAATGGAGGCATCCATAAGATTTGAGTGAGTAATGAAGGATAAAGACTGCAGTCCCAGAAAAATGAAGCAAACTCTTAGTCTAGTATTAAGAGTGTTGAGTCAGGGCTGGAAAGACCTGGGTTCAAATAAATCTCCATTTGGCCATGCGGTTCTTTTGGTGACTATGGGGCAGTCACTTCCTCAGCCTGACCCAACTTACAAAGTGGTTGCAACAAATAAAGTGTTCACAAGTTTGGCCATGTCCTTGCTGCCTTGAGTGGAACACAACGGAAGGCAAGTCCTTACTACAATTTATTAATTTATCAACTCATTATTCAATGAGTGATATAGTAAACATAGGTATATGATACCTTGAAAAGAGAGGGAAGGAAGGAGAGGGAGAGGAAGATGGCAGCCTCACCTTGATGGAGAAGACGAGGGCGGCGAAGCCGAGGCAGCAGAAGTTCAGGAAGAAGAAGTTGAACAAGGACCAGAGCACAAAGTCTGGGTGCTCCTGGACAGCGACGCTCCGCACCTGAGGATACAAAGCAGGGTCCTGCGCCCTGTCCACACCGTCGTAGGGCTGCATGTTGAGGCACACGGACTGCGGGGCGGGCTGCATGGCTGGCCGCGAACCTTGGCAAAATATTCCCGCTCCTTCCCGTCCCCCGCGTTCAGATTCCAAGTGGCGGGCGAGCGGGCGGGTCCCGAATTTAAGCGGAGGGCGAAGCGGGGCGGGCCTCGCCTCCCCTGGCCTCGCCTCCGATGGACAGAAAGGAGAGCCTTTTCAGGGGGGGCAGCGGTGGATTCCGGGAAAGCGAGAGGCAAGGAGCCGGGAGCAGAAACGGAGGGAAACGAAATTGTTTGGTGGGTGGATGGACTGAAGAAACGAAAGCGAGAAATCTCGGAGGTATTTTGTGGAAAACAGGACGAAAATGGGTAAGCTGACTTCCTGCCAAGAAGTCGCATCAACTTAAAAAACTCTACCAGTACTGTTAAGAAACAACTGAAAAGCATAAGGCCACTGCGACCCGGAATAATGTTTCGCCTGTTTTGTGTCGCGTTATCAGTGACACACTATAACACAGAGATCCTGGGTCCTTCACCTCATGGCTTTGCAAGGGCGAAAACACATGCAACCGAGGCACACACTCTTTTTTTACGTGGAATGGTCCCCAAACCAAGGTCCAAGCACAGACTTCAGCACAGAAATTATGGACTTCTTGGTGCACGACTTAGCAGTGGTGCAAAAAGATGGCTTCCAAGCATGGATCCGATCCTCATGGATATACATGAGTTTTATGCGAGGTCTCCCCCAATCCTCTGATAAGTCATAGGCCCCATCTTTGCCCACAGACTACACCACAGGAATCATGGGTCCTTCAGCACTTGACTCTGAAGTGGTGCAAAGGCAGCTATCCAATACACAGATCCTCATGGATCTACATGATTTTTATGTGGGATCTGCCCTTAGCCACTGTACCATCATAGGTCCCTTTTGTACCCACAGACTACAATACAGAAATCATGGGTCCTTCAGCTCATGACTTTGCAGCACAAAAACATTGATTCAAGGCACAGGTCCTCATAGATCCACATGATTTTAGGTGGGATCCTCAAAAATGACCATCAAGCTGCCGATCCTATCTGTGCTCACAGATCAATCCATAGAAATCACAGATCTTGCAGCACATGGCTATGGTGGAAAAACCTGAATCTTCATGCAACCATGTGATTTTTAAATGAGATCCTCCCTGAGCCACCATCAAACCACAGGACCTGTCTGTGCCCACTGACTACAGCACAGCAATGATATATAATCATTCCTTTGGTGCATTGCATCGCAGTGACATAAAAATATGGATCCCAGACATGAATCTTCATGGATCCACATGACTTTTATGTGGGATCCAACTCAAATCACTCTCCAATCACAGGTCCCATCTGCTCCCACTGACTACAATCAAGAAATTATTAATTCTTCTGCACATCATTTTGTAGTGGTGCAAAAATATGGATCTGAGGTGCAGATCTTGTGGATTGACATGACTTTTACATTGGATCCTCTCCAAGCCACCATCACATAGATCCCATCTGTTCTCACTGACTAATTCCTATAAATCAAATAACCTTCAGTGCATGGCAAAAAATAGATCCCATATGTTCCCACTGACTAATTACTATAAATCAAATAACCTTCAGTGCATGGCCTTAATGTGATGTCAAAGCACCAGTCATCATGGATCTATATGATTTTCTCACAGGAATCTCAACAGACCACCATTAAGTTGTAGATTCCATCTGTGCCCAAAGACAAAACCACAGAAATCACAGATCCTTCAGCACGTGACTTGGATAGGATGCAAATACCTAGCTCCTCAGGGACCCACATTATTTTTGCATGAAATCCACCTCAAAACCCTGGCAAATTATACATTCCATTTCAGCTCATAAAATACAACAGAGAAATCACGGGTCCTTCATTGCATGGCATTGCAGAGGGAGAAAAAACCCCTGAATACTCTGAAAATCATAGGTTCCATTTGTACCCACACGCTACGCCATAATGGAATCCATTAGCACACATCTTTGCAGCGGCACAAAAACAATAATCCAAGTCATGGATCCTCAGGAACCCACAGAGTTTGTACATGGGATCTGCTCCAAACCACTATCAAATCATACCCCATTTATGTCCACAGGTGATAGCCCAGAAATCATGGATCCATCAGTGGATGGCTTGGCAGTCGTGCAAAAACTTTGGTCCAAGGTGTGGATCCTCATGGCCCTTCAGGATTTTTACATGGGGGTCTGCCACAAACCACTGTAAAATCATAGGTCCCATTTGTGCCCATAGAAATCGTGGGCCCTTCAGTGCTTGGCTTTTCAGTGGGAAGAAAAAATCATGGATTTTTTTAAAATTTGATTTTTTAAAAAATTTCCAAAACAAATACAAGAATACAAAATACTTACTAATACAATCTAAAACACAGTGCACCACCATAGCCACAGGACCCTTTGGAGCAATACTTTTATTACAAACCTCCTTTCCAAAATTGTATTTATTGTTGCTTAGAGGCTTTCCCCTTTCCTTTCACTAACACAAATTCAAAAAAATCTACCCCAAATAGCATAAAAATATTTAAACTTATTTCCCCTCTTTTCATCTTAAGTTTAGTAGTCAATTTATCATTTAACGGAATGTCCCATACTTCATTATACCAATCTTCTAATT